TAGGACTATGAAAATAATCAAAAACGGTGATGAGGTCTGCAAGTGAAAGTATGATTTTTTGAGGAGATTGTGGGAAGTCCACGGTGGTCTTGGAATGATTTTGGAGTTCAAATCAATTGGAAAAAACCAAAAACCATCGGCTTGAATGTTGCTAACGTGAGCCTTTTTTTGCTAACATGAGCCATTTTTGGCCAAAGAAAGCGCCGCACACACTTTTGCATGCTAACGTGTGTCTCACTACGTTAAAATTGAGAATATATTAAAATAAAAGAAATGGCATCTAGATAAATGAAATTAGAGATATCAACTTGAAATTCCGCTAAACCTCGGATGGTATATGTCGTTTTCTCTATACTAGCACGACGAATTTAGACAAACAAAACAAAGGAGGGCTGGAGAAAAACAAGAGGTCTGAACAATAAATCTAAACATGCATTTTCATGAAACACTATAAAAACAAATTGAGTGGCATTCTACCGATCCAGCCCAAAAATTCCCATAGCCACCATAATAATTTCCTAGCATTGGACCAGATGGGCCATATTGTTTACCATTGTATGTTGGGCAGGGGAAAAAAATGATTAAACTTAAAGTCACAACAATCTCAAACTAACCCTAAAAAAGTATAATAACTAAAATAGATTATTATGCAATCAATTTGTTAATTTTATCTGTTAATACTCAACTTTTAATCATTTATATTTTTTTAAAATTTTGTGATACTATTTATGTGCTTACTCTTGCGTCTTACACCCTTGATGTAGCATAAGATTCCAAGATTCAAATTAGGTGTCATTTAACCATGAGTTGTAATCTAGCTGGTAACTGGATTTTCAATGGACAAACTTTACCGATAATGTCAAGGGTTCGAATCTCACTGGACGCAGTTTGTGGCCAGGGGCTTTACCTGAACCTCGATCGGTAATTAGTCTCAATCCCCCTTGTGGCCAGGGGCATTTACCCGAGCCCCGATCGAGAACTAGTCTCAAACCTTCAGGTTTGGGGACATCTCCACAATGAAAACTTGGAACTTAATGCAACATAAAATTAAGATGTGATGCTATTAGGTCCATTATCTCCACCATCAAGACTTGCCTTACACGACATAAGATTCTCAGTATATTAAACTAAGTTAATGACTTTTTCCCACCCAAATAATCGTTTAATGACACTTTTCCACCCACAGACTTTTAAAATGCTACTTTACTATCCAAATTTATATTTTAACGGTGAACAGAGAGCAAACTCGATTCAGGCTATTAAGACTTTAGAAGATGGAAGGCCGATGAGTCTTTTGGTGGTAGAATGTTGGATTTTGGTGGTTGGGATTGAACAGAATTTGACTTGAGAGGGGCAGTTACGCAAACCCTAATCGTTCGATTGCCGATGATTGGTGAGATTGGCGGGAATAAGGCTTGAGGGGTTTTAGTGAGTGATGATCGGGGAAGAAAATGGTGGTGGTGTGGGGTTGCAACCATGTTGGAATCAGAAAAGAAATATAAATTTGAATAATAAAATGGTATTTTAAAAGTCTGTAAGTGAAAAAGTGTCATTAAACCATTATTTGGATGGAAAAAATTTATTTACTTATATTTAACTAGAGGTTTATTACAATTTACTTTCACAATTATACCTTAGTCCAAATAAGATATAAACCTAAATATATGATTTGAACAATCTGTCATTAGAAGAGAGCTATATTCTTAAGTGAAAAATGAAGCATGGTCCATCTTATTTTTTCTCTCATAATCTTAACACTCACTCACCAAATACCCAGAATTGGTTTTGTCTTCACTACCTCTATCTCATAACTAGCACTAGAAAAGAGTTTAGGAGACAATTATGAGTGCCAAAATTAAAGAAAGTTGAAGTAACCCTGTACAAATATCTTAACCGTTCAAATTATTGTGTACTAGCATTAAAAAAAATAAATAAATAAAAAGGGTTAATTATATTGGATAATTGAAAGATGCCCATCTTGATATTCAACTAAATATTCCTTTTCAAATCATAGACATGGCCATATATACTCAATCAATTCACCAGGAAACACAGCATTAACTCATACAATTAATCAAATTCTGGGATCAGTAGAAAGAAGACTAAACATGACCATATCTCTAGTTTTTCCCTTTAGAAGACAATACTTTCTGAGAACACCTTCTCGCATGAATCCAGCCTTCTGCAGCACCTTCTGTGACCCAACATTTTCAACATCTACCAGAGCCTCAAGTCTCTCCAAATGTGGCCACTCATCAAATATAATATCAACCACCATCTTCACAGCCCTTGTTACAATTCCTTTGCCCCAATACTTTGACCCCAGAACATACCCAATTTCACCTCTGCATTTGTCGTTGCCTGAAAATGGTGTCACTGATATAGCCCCAATCGGCCTGTTATTTAAGCAAATTGCCTTGAACCACTTGTGGGGTATAACGACGTGGTTAATATACTCTATGCCTTCTTCTTTGTGACTGAAAGGTCCATAACTGGTGAAACTAGTCACTTTATCATCACTAGCCCACACCATGAAATCATCGATGTCTGATAGCTCCAATGGCCTCAGAGAGATCTGCGAGAATTCGCTCTGCCCTTCTTTTACCTCTGATTCCAAAGATTGTTCCTCCATGTCCACTCTACTTTCCCTGAATGTATGGCTAAATGGTTGAATAGATCACAAGACAAGAAAATTTTTCATCTGAGAAATTAAGCAGAATGGGAAAAGAGATGTAAAGTTCTTGCATTTATAAATATATATTTAAGGAATAGTATATATCAATGCGGCCATATTTGGGCCCGGGGGTTCAATTTTTTAATACGTGGTGTACATTGAATTATGAATATATTAATCGGACAAAAATGCCAAGGAGAAAAAGATGCTTCTGTAATGGCCGCCACTGTTGACCATAAGTCAATAATACAGGAAGTTAAGGTCAGGGACAGGAACAAGAACAATCATCGTGATAGCTGATAGGCTTAGAAGTATTATTTATCCATGAGTGTTTTGGCTTCAAGTTAGGTTGAAAATTAATAAAGAACAAGATATCTCCCAAAGGACCGTGGAGAAAACTAGATTATACATTGAAAGAAGTGTCTTGAGATATTCCTTTAATAAAGATGATGCTAGAAATGGTCATTAAGTTTCTCTTAATCAGTTAATCTCCTGATCGCCCATCACAGTCAACACTTGAACCGTCCCAATTGGTGAGTGCTTGCCTATATGTAATGAAAACTGTGGTGATGTGGCTTACATTGGCCACGGTGGAATCAGCCTTTTATAAAGAAGTCAACCTTTTTTATAAAGAAATCAAAGATGGTCTGTGCGACAGTCGTTTTCTCCTTGAATCAGTTTCAATTCGTGTCATTTGATCTATTTCTCTTGCAACAACTTTATTCTCATCCTCACCTCATTGGAAGCATGAATATGAAGAGATTCTAAACTTGTTCATCTCAAGGCTGTGGAGAAATTCAAGACAAGCGGAGGGCGATCTGAGAGGAGTGTTTGTGTTTATAATAGGGTAGGCTGGTGAAGGAAATGAGCAACTCTCGTAGAGAAATCTAGGGTCTTAATTTTGGATGTGTTATTTCTTGTACTCTCTATTTCAATTCTTTTTCATACTGTTTGAAATCATGATTAATAATATACCTATTGAGCGCTTGAAGAGTGAATGTAAGCTACTTAACCGAACCACTATAAATCTATATGGTTGCTTTTTGTTTTTTTTTTTTTTTGAGCTTTCTTTCTTTCTTTTTTATTTTTATGCCTTGATTGAATGATTCAGGATGTTCAGATTATTCAGAGTTGTTTGATTATCCAATTCATCACTTGTTAATTCAATCAAGACAACTCAGTAGACCCTGGTATTCTAACAAAAACAATAAGAAATTGACCTCTAGTAATTGTCCTGGAAATATGATAAATAAATTATTATAGAGGGAAAAAAGGAGAAGTGCCAAGATGAAACTGTATTTAATGCCGCCTTAGTTGACTAGTACACCAAGGTGAGAAAGGGACCTAATCTAGCTATTTTCGCCGCTGTAGAGACTTAATAATCCTAATCAACTTGGAGTCAACGAAAATAGATAAGGTCATCATAAGGATGGATAGTGGAAATTCACATCCTGTATGTTCAATTTTTATGATCTGTTTATGAATACAAATAACAGCTAAAAGAAAACAAACTACAGTGAATATTACACAAACTAAATTTTGTACAGATGATTAAGTTTTAGGATCAGTGGAGAGAAGACTAAACATGACCATGTCTCGAGTGCTTCCCTTTTGAATCAAATACTTTCTAAGAACACCTTCTTTCTTGAATCCAGCCTTCTCTAGCACCCTTTGTGAGCCCACATTTTCAACGTCTACAAGAGCCTCCAGCCTCTCCAAATGTGGCCATTCATCAAATATAGTTTTAGCCACCATCTTCACAGCCTGTGTAGCAATCCCTTTGCCCCAGTAATTCGAGGCCAAAACATATCCAAGCTCACCTCTACACTTATCATGACCGGATTTTGGCGTGACTGTGATAGCACCAATTGGCCTGTTGTTGATGCAAATTGCCCTGAACGATGGATGGGTTGCAACTTTGTCTTTGATAAAGCTCATGCCTTCTTCTTTGCTAGTGTAAGGTTCCCATCTGCAAAAGCGAGCAACTTTACCATCACTAGCCCACACCATGAAATCGTCGATGTCTGAAAGATCTAACAACCTGAGAGAGATATCAGAGAATTTAGGGTCGCCTTCATTTTCATATGGTTTGGAGGATTTTTCCTCCATTTATGCTTTTAACCAAGACTGTTTAACAAAGCTTAATGAGTACCGTAGTACAAAATATGAGAAGAAAGATATAGCATTTATTAACATATGGAATTAAGATAGAATGAGAAATGTTAACTTATAATTGGGGTAAACGTTGCCTTGATTGGAGTGAGGAGCAAGGAATTAGAAAACGCCAAAACTGTTTTAACATATTTATAGCCGCCTTAGCTGACTATTTCAACAGGAATTTTCCACTTCATACAATAGTTAAATTCAGCTTGGAGTATCCATCTCATTGCAATTCTGTTGCAGCCTGTTTCAATGGACCCATCAAGAATTTCCCTCCGTCCATTCAAGCTCTCCGATGTTGATGATTTCCTGAAATGGGCTAGTGACGATAGAGTGACACGCTATCTCAGATGGAACACAATTACTTCCAGAGAAGAAGCATTAAATTATCTTGACAAAGTTGCTATACCCCACCCTTGGCGTCGGTCCATATGTTTGGATGACCGTTCGATTGGCTACATTTCAATCAAACAAGAAGCAGGTGATGATAGATGCAGAGCCCACGTAGGATATGCATTGGCGGCAGAGTACTGGGGTCAAGGGGTAGTCACGGTAGCATTGAAAATGGCTGTTTCTAAAGTGTTTGAGGAAATTCCAGATTTGGTGAGATTGCAGGCTCTGGTAGAGGTAGAAAATAAAGGGTCTCAAAGGGTACTAGAAAAAGTTGGGTTCTTGAAAGAAGGTTTGTTAAGGAAGTACGGTTTCTGCAAAGGCGAAATTAGAGACATGTTTGTGTATGGCTTCATTTATACCGATAAGGTTATGTGAGAGCTCTTTATCTTATGGCTCAAATCACATAAAACTTGGTTTCGTCAGTTCCCTTGATGATTAGTAACAAAACCCCAGCTAGCTGAAGCCGAGTTAAACAACAAATGAGCAGACAAATGCCAACAGGTTGTGTCCTTCCTCGCTGTGATGGTATCTGTTAAGAACAGAACATGTAGGTCTATGATTTAAACATTCTTAATTCTTTTAGCTTTTCGTGTTCTGAGTGTAATTATTTTAGTCTGATTCTTGACCATAGATGTGTGCGTACTGCGTACAACAAATTTTTGGCCCACGTTTCCTTTCTAGAACTGATTCAATGTACTCAATCAACACATATTCTCTGTACATGAATCATACTTGATGATGTCTTGTTATTGTGGTGGTCGTAAGAATGGCCCAACATGATATACTAGCGAGGGTAAACGGCATATTCCCATCGAGGTTTAGCAAAATCTCAAGTTGATACCTCCTACTTGCATTTATTTCAGATTCTCATTCTTACACTAACACTATTAGTGACTACTGAAGGTGGTCAAAAACGGTGAATGAGATCCATAAATAAAAGTATAGGTTTTTTAGAGGAGATTGTAGGGAGTCCAATAGTGGTCTTGGAAGTGATTTTGGACTTTGAAATCAGTTGAAAAAAACCAAAAACCATCGGCTTGGATGCTACTAACGTGAGCCTCTTTTTGCTAACATGAGTCCTTCTTAGCCAAAGAAAGCGCCAGCACACTTTTGCATGCTAACATGCGTCTCACTATAGTGAAAAGTTAAGAATATGTTAAAATAAATGAAATGGCATCTAAAATAAATGGAATCAGGGATATCAACTTGGAATTTCGCTAAACCTCGGGTGGTAATATGTCGTTTTCTCTATACTAGCACGACGAATTTAGACAAACAAAACAAAGGAGGGCTGGAGAAAAACAAGGTGGTCTGAACAATTAAAATCTAAAGCATGCATTTTCATGAAACATTTATTTTAGCATATTTTCAACTTTTCACTATAGTGGTAGATTCATACCGATCCAGCCCAAAAATTCCCACAGCCACAATAATCATTTCCTAGCATTGGACCAAGATGGGCCATATTGTTTACCATTGTATGTTGGGCAGGACAGGATACGCCAGCACAATGGACCACAATTTTTTCCGATTTCCAGTACCCATACCAGTGACATTTGATAAGATCGACATTACAAAAGCATAATGTGCAACATCAACATCAGACGGTTACGGCAGTGTGATTTGGTTCTATGATCTCATCACTTCCCTCTAATCACAGTTGTGATTATGATCATTGGATTCATTTGATCATATGTGGTTATTCGGTATGATCTAAATTTAATTAGTTTGTTAATTATTAAGAATTTGTAATTGGGATTCATGTATTGGGTCTAATCACTAATTGCACACATCAACTTTGATTAAAAAGGTTTTTCCTTTGTTTATTGCTGAGATCATCTTCTTCTTTTTTTGATATTATTTAAATCAATCTTTCGCTTTAATTGATTATTTTCTATCTCTATCTCTTTTCTTTTGACTATATTTTATCACTTTTCATTTTTCTTAACCCAAATGTAATAGACCATAACAAAAGAAACTCACAGTGATTGACAAAGAACAAATTAGCCCAAGGAATTTTTTAATAAAATAATACATCTCATTATTGAAGATTAAATACTGAAATTTTAAATATTAAAGATATACATACTTAAAAGTAAAAATATTAAATATTAATGGGTGGTGAGTAATCAACTAAGACTCTTGAATGTATTACTCAAAATATCTCAAATTCAATTCTCCTCGGCTCCTAATAAGAGTTGTCATTAGAGGCTTTCTTGATCCTTAATTTAAGGGTCCTAAAAGATTAGTTGAGGTACGCGTAAACTGGCCTAAACACTTCGGTAAGAAAAAAAATGATTTTTATATCACATATTTTGATTATAAACAATGAGATTTACTTTTTTAACAAACCAAAAATACATTTATTTTAGGGGACACATAAGAGCTAGATTTAAGAGATAAATTGAACTTAACATAAATGGGTCATTAGCAATGACAAAGGAGTGAAGGACTATTCCATCAATTATCTATCTTTGAGACGATTAAATTGACTTAAAATGTTGGAATATTCATAATATATCAAGTGGAAACGGATTTGTGCATTGGAGAGTTGTATTTCTTGTGGACAGAATTGCAGGGGGGGCTGGGATTGGATACGTGACGTTATACGACCGTACTTGTTTTGATTAAATGAAAGGGTCATCTGGGTGAGGAGGCGGTGGTCCCTTGAGGTGATACGCAGAAATGGACTACCACTTCCATCCTGTCTCTTCCTGATGTAGCCAATAAAATGGAGGGTTGCAGAGAGCCAGCGGCCTATCACTGGGACCTGAGTGATTTTAAAGGCCAACTCATTCAGTTAGCCTTAGTCTCTTCAATAATTTAATATGAAAAAAGAAAGGGTGATTAATTGGGTTGGGGCCACCCCACCTGCACTTAATCCTATGAAAAGCGACTCCAGGCGCCTCCCCTTCGGGTTTTCCATGTCTCTTTTTCTCCATTGTCATTTCAATTAAAATTAATATTATTAATAAATGTTAATGACTTTTTCCCACCCAAAAATGATAATGTAATGGCATTTTTTTACTCGTGGATTTTTTAAAATATCATTTTGTTATTTAAATTTATATTTTAATAATAAATACGAAATTTGATCTAAATTATTAAGATTTTTTAAGGAGGAAGGTAAGAGGTTGGATTTTAGTGATTAAAATTGATTAGAATTTGACTTAAGAAAAGTGACTGTATAAACCCTAATCGTTCAATTATCGATAATTAATAACGGATCTAGCCCCTTTAAAGGTAGACTCAGGCCTACGCTCATATGTTTTTTTTTTTAAATTATTAATATATAAGCCCACAAAAAAGTGTCATTAATATATATAGGCAGGTTTACTCTCAGATTTTTTGCAAATGAGAACTATTATACATATATCCAAGCTTATAAAAAACTTGTTATTAATATATATATTTCAAATCCATATCATATTAAAAGTTTAAAACTCTCTTCACTCTTCTTCTCCACGACTCCACCTGTTTTTTATGATTTTATCCCTAAAATTTTTTACTCTCTCATCCTTTCTTTCTCTTTCTCATATTATTCACTCTTAAAACTTTTGAAGACTAAAATTATTGAAACTTGCATTACTCAAAGTGCTACAATTAACTTTATTTTCTGTTATATCAGTTTTATGTATGTGTATTACTTATTTTAATTTAGTTTATTTTAGAGTTGAATCATGCTTATTTTTTTGAGATTTTTCATTATAAGTTGAAAGAAAAAGACATAGATCTTATGAGTTTATTATGTGTTTTGTGTTTAAGAATGTTCCTGTTTTTCCAAATTAAAATATTAACTATATTTTAAAGGATGTTATTCTTCATCTTTTGCCCTCCACTTTCCTATATTTCAAACTTCACCGTTTAGTTGCTCAAAATTATTAAAAAAATTTGAGTTATTATTTATGTTTATACCAAGAAAATTCATTTTTTTTTTTTTATAATTCATATTAAAAGTCAACGCAATATTGACTTAATTTAAGTTTTGGTTGACATTTACTCAAAAAATTACTTCTATAAAACTTATTAAGTAGGAAAGTGTTATGATATTGTATTCTTTTCTTTCATGTTCTTGATATTGTATTTTTTTTTTTTTTACTTAATGTTTGAGATTTTTTAAAGTTTTCTAATTGTTTAGCAAACAATAGCAGAGCTGCGGAGACCCTTCGAATAAAAATTTGGACCTACTATTATCGTGATTAGTGGGGTGACGAGAATAATATTCGAGGAGTTTTGATGAGTGATGATCGAGAAAAGAATAATTGTTTAAAAATGAAGGGTGAAAAATTACCATTAAACCATTATTTGACGGAAAAAAAGTGGTGTATCTAAATAACTCAGATATACAAATTACGGTTAAAACGAAAAAGAAAAAAAAAATATTGACGTGAAATACATTATTTTGCAAGTGGTACGTCATCAAATCCTCTTTATTGTATCAAGAATGTATAAATCCTTGTCAAGAGCAGACGTGGAATGCAAACAATAAATTAGTCAATGGATGTCATTTGATTCAGATTTAAAGAAAATTAATTTGTTTAAAATAAAAAAAAAAACCATCATAGATAGCGACAATACGTTACACCAAAGACTTTCCGGACTGAAGAGTTTATGTAAAAGTATATTGAAGAGCACATGCCACTATCCATAAAATAAAAGCAAATTAAATCCACCACTTTAAAATCAAACAACTGAAACTGAACTCAATTTCGAATCATTCTGTTTACTCCCAACTAGGGTTAAAGTTAAACTCTACTTCAAATCATGTCAACATTACGGTCTTACTCATTTTTTTTTAATTTAATGACCACGATATCTGAGTCAGTTTATATAGACCTTTATTAATTTCCTAAAACTCTGAAACTATCGGTTGGATAAAAGTTTCAGTAACTACCTTTATTTATATCCAATGAGATACTCAAACTCATGACTTACTGAATAATACACCTATTATACCTAAAAAAAAGTAAGATTGACGCAAGACTCAGCCAGTATAAAAAGTCAAAGCTTAGGTAGCTCCGTAGCCAGTCAAAGGCAGCCACGTCATATAATGGCAGGGACGGCATGCTCCTGTCAGGGCAGTGGGTGTGCGTCAGACCAGCCAAGAGCTAGAGTGATTCCACGCGTCTAATCCCTGCACCAAATCGCGTAATTCTCTCTAGAATGTGGGTAATGAGACATAAAGAATGATTTGCATGGATAATCCCACCAACTCATAGATTTAGTAATCATAACCTTAATCCATCCCACTATAAATTAAGAGCTTCTCTCCCATTTGGGGGATTAGCTAATCTCTCAAAATAAAAATAACATTCTCTCTCTCGTATAATCATTTGTAAGTCAGTCCGCTGGACCATTCTTATTAATGCAAAATCAGTGGACGTAGGATTCGCTTCTTTAAGCATCCGAACCACTTTAAACGCTATTCTCTATTGCTCTTTCTTTCTCATTCACGTGTGTCTTCTAGGCCAACTCAATATTTCATACGTGCATTAGATTGATATCAAAATCACATAACAACAACACTCAAGAGTCACAATTAAACCACTTAATCATCTAAAGTTAATTATGGACTTACTGTTACCACCCGTGGCGTAACATAAAGAAAATCAAACTTTGATTTTGCTCACAAAACTTTTGTAATTGTTATGAACCTACCCATTGAGTAGTAATTAATGACTATAAATAACCACGGGGATTGGATGACTAGCCCATTCCAAAAGAATGCACCCACCAATTCAGGACACACAAAACAATTGATTTACTAATTTAATGTTTGCGTCTTGATTTAAGGTTTTGGTCGCTTTTATTAATTAAGATTAAACCAAACCTAGCTAGTTAAAACTAGGGTTTGAGCTAGAGTTTGAAAATATGATTGATGTAAAATAAAATGTCACCATCTTGGTGTAACTATTTGGTATAATATCATTAAAATCGAGGGCCCAAAAGAGATTAGACCCCCTACATAAAGTTAAGTATTTGTATTACTATTTAATTGTAGAGTGCTTTGGGAAATCATAGTTTAAGCAAATTTAAATATGTTAACTATACCCATCAGATTGGTTTGATAGTCAAGAATGATAAACTCTTAAGTTTAAATATTAAGATCATCTATTATAATAATATTCTGATCTACCTAGTCTTTTATATTTAGTGTTTAATGTACTCTATAAATTAGTTGAAGTACGTATAAATTGATCCAAACACTCCGATTACCAAAAAAAAAAAAATATATATATATATATATATATGTGTGTGTGTGTTAATTATAAGGCATAACACTCTAGTTATATATATATATACAAAATTAAAAATGTTAATTAAGAAGCATGAATCATGATTACTCTTTTGTTGCTTTGCTCTCAATAATTGAGATTAATGAATAAATTAAACTAATAGAGACCTATAATGATGGTTTTTAATTCTTTTAACATGTAGTTAAAATACCCAAAAAGGACTTGACATTTCTTCCCAACTTTTTACAAGTCATGGACTGATGGACCTCATTGTTGGAAGTTAGATACATAAAATAAAAGATAATAGGAAAATGCCTATGGGATTGTATTGTTTGATTTGATTCTTCTATATTTGTGCTCCTGTTCTTCAGGATTTTCTTAATTTTATTCTCTATGTGGATTGATTCAACTTTGAAAAAATGTTTATGGTAGACTTTGTTGGTTGGCACACGCTCCTTCACAACACGATATTAACATCCTGAAAAATTGGATAATATTAACCACCACTAATTGATTGAGTGATCACTTGATTATTAATTTGTCTGGAGATTAATTGATGTGTGTGCAAGTTAGTTCAGACTGGTTTAAAAAATTAACTAAATATGAAATATATATACGTTGTTATTGGAAAGTATTAATATTATGTGCCCTTATACTAGAGATTTTTTTATCCTTTCAAAAAAAGGAATTTTATTAGAGGCATTTTTAATAATCTCAATGACATATAATATTTTTCAATAATATTAGGATTTTTTTCATATTGATTTCACATTAATAAATAATATAAATCGTAATTTTACCGTGTAGTTTAGTTTGACTACTAATTATTATTATCAAATAAATGTAGAAGACGTTAATATATATATATATTTTTTTATATATATATAAGAGATGTTGAGATCAGCGTATGTCACTGAAACTGAGCCTATGGGTCTGGGACCTCCGCCTGTCCAGCCCTAGTCAAATACCATTTTAACACAGTGGCAGTTATCATTCCAAGCGGGGCCCTCCAGATTCTCCGTACGTAAATTACCAAAAAGTCCAGCGTCCAAACTCACATTAATACTCTCAGCATGGATAATTGAGACATTTTAGGTGGTAGATAATCTCATAAATTCGCCAATAATTAACTGAAGAGACGAGGACAGAACAATTAAAAATGTAGTAGAGTGGGGTCGAGAGTGCCGGATCATTGAACTGGGAGTTTTAAAAGTGGGACCCAATATGACGTGGTGGATATAGATTATGATTTATGAGTTAACGTTGGGCGCGTGTCATGATTTGATGATGGAGTTGTGCAAGAAAAGAAAAAACAGAAGAATAAGATGACGAAGCTAGAGCTAGCGGGTCCGTGACTTACACTACCACCACTCTTAAATTTGGTAAACCGAAGATCATGGGCCCCGCCACACTTCACTAATTCGATGGACCGCATTTTGCAAACCCTCTTGTGGACCAGTCTGGACCACCGGCTCAACCTTCGCTCCATCTCATAGAAGTTGCAGCCGACTTTTTTGTGTCTTAATTATTAGGGGTTTCCCTCAACCCCTTTAGTTTTAATCAAATCATAAAGTCCCCCTGATATTTTAGAAATAATAAAATTTTTCCTTGATATTCTAGTTAATAAATTTAAATGACAAGTTATATTTAGTTATTTTTAATTATAAATTAACAGTTTTATTAATGAGTTTATTACAATAGTTTAATCCCAAATTATATGGCTTAAGTTTATATTGACTATGCAGTCTTGTAAATCCAAAACAAACGGCGCGGAGTCGAGGCGGAGCCGAGCAGGAGCGAGATTAAACGTCAAAGATTGTAAAAGACGTAGTTGATTTAAGTTTTTTGTACAGTACGGTTTGGTTGGCGAGTCCCGTCAGCTTTTGAGTTTTCAAAAATAAAATAATATTCGCAGCATCCATTGGTGATGAGAGAAAGATCATTTAGCTAGATAGAGAAGAAAGGAAGATAGTGAAAGAGAGAGTCAACCCAGAAATAAAAACTGACGTGAAAAATATTCTGATTAGCTGAGTGAGTGGTGTGAACTGTGATCAAATCAAATCAAAATCAAAACCACTGATTTCCATGCACACGCTTCTTTATAATCACACCAACAGCCCCTCAATCCCACGAGCTACTTGTTTCTCTTTCTCTCTCACACTCTCCATCTCTCTCTGCAACTTACTTGTCTATTTTTTAGGACTCGTTATGAGAAAAAAACTGAATTTGAATAAGTGGGGTTTAGTTAAATAAAGAGCTAAACTAGCGTAATATAAACTTGGCCAATCTTTTTTTGTTTTTCATATATTTTTGGGGAGTTTTTATTAGATGCTCTCGTCTTTTACTCTTGTTTGTATGTGAAGGTTTGGATATTTTTTAGAAAATTATTTTCTTTTATTGAGCTATAGGATCAAATTTGTTTTTGTGTTGGGCGAATGAAAATATTACTGGTAAAAGGACACATAATAAAGATAAAGAAGAGGTGAAAAGCAGAGGGCTTTAACAAAAATACAAAAAACCTTCTTGTTTCTGGTGCCCTTGTTGCTGTGCACTCCGTGCTGATGCATTTGCACGTCTGGTCTCTTGATCATGACTTATGAGACTCTCTTTGCATGTCGGTTCTCTGTCTGAGTGATTCTTCTTGAAAAATTTTGGGAAGAAAGTGCGAGAAAGTCGGGGAAAAAGTAAAGCTTTCTCAGTTTTATTTTCTTTCTTAGTTTAATTTTGCTCGGTACTTAGAAATGGAAGTCAGTGAAATATAATATGGTTGATCTTCTTTTGACTGTACTTCCCAGTCCCACCCATTTGTATCTGATTCTCTAAAACAATAACTCAATAAGCCTTATTAAATTTCTCAACTTTCTAATATATTATATAGTGTGATTCTCTCAAAGGTGGTTTTGTTGTGAATTACAAGAATCAAATCCATGGCTATTTCTTGTTAACAACAGGTAAGTCTCCTTTTTTCTTTCCTCTCTCTCGTTAGTTCATGAAAAGAAAAAAAAATCTTATCTTTAGATAAATTTATTCTTTGTGTTGCAGTGGGGTTGTAAAGTATTTCAGTGTTAATGGCAGACAATGGCTCTCTTCCCTCGCCCACCACCATCACAGATAAGAATAGAAAACCCACTTCATTTCCAAGATTGTTCACTGGTTTAACCAAGAGTTTTTCTGAAACTGAGGCTCATGTGATGAGCCCAACTTCAATTCTTGATATTAGCAAACCATTCTCTGTTCTCAAGAACCCCTTTTGGTCTGAACCCAATCCACACACACCGAGAACCCCGGAACCTGAAGCTAGGCACAAATTGGACTCGAAAGGGATTGGTCTTGGCATTGTTGATGTTCTCGAAGATGTTAAATCAGATTCCAAAGAATCAAAACCTGAGAGCCGAATGGTTCTTTTCGGGTCACAGCTAAAGATCCAAATCCCTCCTCTTGTTCCCTCTCCTCAAGATTCACCTATGTCTCCAGCTGAGTTTGGTATCAAAACTAGAAACTCTCAATTGGGTTCTATTTCCTCTGTGTTATCTCCCACTCCGGCTAAAAAATCAACTTTTGGCTCGGTGAATTCGGGTCTGGAGACTCCAAATTCTCCTCAGGTTTTCACGGGTTGTCTCTCTGCTATTGAGATGGAGCTTTCTGAGGACTACACTTGTGTCATTTCTCACGGGCCAAATCCGAGAACTACTCATATTTTTGACAATTGCATTGTTGAAAGTTGCTGTGGTGTTGTTGGGTTATCTCCTCTGAGAAAAGAAAATAACGGGATCACTGCTTTTGATCAAATAAGCTACCCATCTGAAAGTTTTCTCAGCTTTTGTTACACTTGCAAGAAGAATCTTGGCCAGGGAAAAGACATTTACATGTACAGGTTCGTCTATTTTTTCCTTTTGCTTGGACCAAATAGATGTTCTCTTTCTCATTACCCACCCCTTTTGGTAACATTTGGATTAGAAAGGAAATTTACTTTTGAATTGACAAGTATATAAATTTCATATAATTCAATATTAAGTTTTAATTTCAGATATGTTTCAGTATGTACATGATGATATGAAACTGAACTTAATTAAATGAAAAACTAAAGGAGAATTCGTAATTTGCAGAGGAGAGAAAGCTTTTTGCAGCAGTGAATGCCGTTTCCAGGAGATAATGTGGGAGGAAGAAGGAGATCAATTGGACCCAGTTGATGATGGCTATGGCAATTGCTCATGATAGTTAACAATTTTCTCGATTTCCATCAGCACTCTTCTTTGCTTTAAGATGTCATATAAAGTATGGACCATTGCAGAAAAGTACCAGCTTCTTAACAAGGGTAGTAAAACTCGAGTCATAAATTTCCTGCATCAATCTAAGGCAGAAAATATTGGATAAAGATGGTTCGTAGATACTGATTCTGGATGTGTTAATTTTCCTCCCTTGTTTTGTTACTATTCTATTTTGGGTTCCAGTTTTTCATAATCTCCTTGTAGAGGCAGAGGATACTGAAGTTCTGCTAAAATATTGTAGAGTTGATGATTTTCTTCAAGGGAGTTGGGTTTCATCCACAGTTTTTGTCTCGTAAAGATGTTGTATGAGTGAAGTTTACATTTTACCTTTACCTTATTCTTTTTTAATATATTCCAATCAAGTTATAATAAAGCAAATAACAATAGAGAAGAGTAACTAATGACCTGAATTGAAGTAAGAATCTTTTCTTTTTCTTTTGAATGTTCTCTTCTTCAACTAATCATGTCATTTCATTTTGTCAAGCTTTTATTTAGCGGAACAATGGAGTTGGTTCATTTACTTTAATGCACACTGACGTAAGGCTAATTATCTTGAAGGGAACAACTCCAAACAAATTAGTGAATTATTCAAAGGAATAATTGTGTATTAGTTTATATTATTTTCACTAATCAAACAGAATATAAAATTTCTCCACCCACTAGCCTTCGTTTTCACCAACAAAAAGGTTAAATTCTTGAAAATGAAAGTCAATCAACCTGCTATTAAGATTAACTGGGTATTATTAATGAAGAAGTTGAGAAGAGATATCTGGGAATCAAATAAACATAAAAAACTTGTAGGACAGAGAGGGAGATGAGTGGATTTGCCTACTAAACACGACCCTGCACTGCGGTGGGGGCCTGCACTCTCACTGCATTCAATCAGGAGGGACAACCGGAGAGGTTCTTGGCGCATGGTGGCCAAGAGAGAAACCCGACATGGAATTTATGGAACCTAACCTTGGACCGTTGCCCTCTTAGAATTTGGATTTCTTTTTGTTTTCTTTCCACCGTGGCTTTTTGAGGGCTTTTTCCTGATACAGGCATCTACGTACAGTAGTTCTTCTTCATATGAAAAACATTTGAGAATCCGAAGCCAACTGCTCTTCTTCAATCATTAAAAGTGAATGCAGAGCTAGCTGTAACTCATATACCCCATTGAAGAATGGTTGAAGCTGATATTGGATTTTCTGTGAATTGGTTAATCAAACAGCTGGGAATACCAACTCCTTGTGAGATGATTAAACATTAAATTAGAGATTTTAGAAACGGTTTAAGCCTTTGGATTTTATAGATATATGATGTGGTCATGTAATGTTCATGCTTACACGATGATATTAGCATCATTATCAGGACGGTGATTTATTTAATTTAAAAAATATAAAGCAACTTAACTTTGTCATTTGCGTAATCATCACTTATAACGTCTCCCAACGCTACTGTTGACCAACTCTTAATTGCTGTTCACCAATCACCATATAATTTCAAAGGAAATGATTTTATTTTAAAACTTTTCTTTAATACCCAAAATATCCTTCCAACCTTAATTAGATTTTTTTACACACACATCTCCAATTTCAATTTTAGAATTATATATATATAAAGAAATAAACAAGCAATTATTAAACAAACAATTTCAATGATTGTACGCTCTTCCAAATGTTATTCTGGTTTTCCCAATAAACTTAAAACTAAAAATGCATTTGTTTCAATATTTTCAAAACCATATTCCACTGTATTTATCTTTCAAAATATTAATAATTACCTTTTTCGTAAATATAATCCAATTTTACTTTTTTTTTTTCAAAATATTATTCTAAAAAGTATCAGAATAATAAACCAAACGGACATTGTTGTGCATAAGACTGTAAACGAGCCGAGCCGAGCTTTTGGCTTATCGAGCTCAGCTCGTATACAACAGTGTCGAGCTCGAGCTTGAGCCTGGCGAGCCTCAGAATTGAGACTTGAACTCGAGCTCAGCTCGATCAAACCACCATTTATCCGGGTTTGATCGAGCCAAGTTCCCCTTTTTTATAGTAATCTTCCTGCGTACAACATTTCATATTTACATCCAATGTTGAATTAACCATGACAGTTTCGAACATTACAAAATGCCTATTACCTCACAAAATCAAAAAACAGTTCTGAATATATACAAATAACATTTCCAAGAGTACAAATACAGTCCACCAATCAAAATCACTATCCACTAGTAGTCTGCAGTAGGCCTATCTTCGACAAAAACCACAATTTCCCCCTGCCTATAGAAAATGTTCAATTTAGTAAGTATTTTTTAAGGTAACTATGACAAGAAAAAAATATGTATAATCATGAAACAAAAGCAAAATGAATAAAAGTTTTACCTATGCATGCCTCCTACCACAGCCAAACCATGCACTAAATCCCAGGAACTTACAAGATAGGAAGGTTGATCTCCAACGATTGCTGCTCTTCCTGAAAATGACAAAGGATGATTAATTGAAGTTTAGTTAGTATAAATATAAAGTAATAACTAAATTTAAAAAAAAAACAATATTCAATATAAGTATGTAACCTACTTTACATCCTTTCTTCACCTCATTCAATGTCCTGCTCCAATCACATCCACATAAGAGCATCTCCACTGAGTTAGGAGTCAACGACGATCGGTACATGTCAATAACCCTACTGCTGGAGCTAAAAGTAGACTCAGAAGCAACCGTAATAATAGGAATGGCTAATATGTCACGAGCCATGGTAGACAAGATAGGGAACTTTGTTGAATTAGCCTTCCACCAAGTGAAAGCATCAAACGTCGTAGCGTCCCCAACATATTTATGGAATCCCTCTCTCAGGTAACAGTCTAACTCTGATTTTGTTGGCTCAATCGTCTCAACCACATCCAGAAACTCACTAAAATCATCCCAATCATCCGCCATCTCTACCGCTGCCCCTGACCCCTCACCAACCTCCTGAACTGCACCCCCTGTAGATGCAGAAGCGCGGGCAGCTGTCAATGCTTTACTGGCATCAACATACTCTCTATATATCTCATACAAGACATCTCGAACAACATCCATATTTGCCTGCGATTCAGGCTGAGGATACATCTTAGGGAACGCCCATTCAATTACCCTCATCTTCAGTCTAGGGTCCAAAATAGTAGCCACACCCATCAATAGATTACATTCTCCCCAATATTTGTCAAACTTTTCTTTGATTTTCCAAATCATGGCCTGTATAAACTCATCTCCATCCCGACTCTTCCTTTCCAACATAATTTTTATTGTACAAACTTGTTTTAGAAACTAGTTTGATGTTGGATAATCACTCCCTGATATCAGATTCGACGCACCACTAAACACCTTCAAAATAGAACAATTTTTCTCAACTTTGTCCAAATCCTCCTCCTTGGGACAATAATGATAACTCAAATCTCTCTCCTTCAAACAAGGGAAAACACGCCTAAATTTCATTACCGTTGTCAAAATATTTTATGTTGAATTCCATCGCGTTTTGCAATAAAAAATAAGCTTGCGAAATGGCAATCGATGCTGTTGAACAATCTCTACAAACACCTTTAGTCTACTCTCCGATGAATTGATATACGCCACAGTATCACGGATGTCCTCAATAATGTGTCTAATCTGATAAAGACTATTTTGAACAACCAGGTTCAAGATATGTGCACAACACCTCACATGAAACATCTTGCCCCCACATATGAGCTTTCCCGTAGCTTGAAAATTATCTTTCAACACTTTTACTTCAACATCATTGCTTAAAACATTATCCACTGATATTGTGTAGACCTTAGCTTCAATTCCCCAGACCATAAACACTTGAAAATTGCATCTGCAATGGCAACACCAGCACGGGGAGGAGGGAAATGAATAAAGTTCAACACCCGTCTATTAAACTTCCAATTATCATCAATCCAATGCCCAGTCAAAACCATGTATTCCATCCTCTGGTTGCCTGAATGTCATAGATCTGTGGTCAGACTTATCTTCCTAACACCCTTCAATAGGGTCAGCAACTTCTGCCTCTCACTTTCAAACACTCTCATACAATCATTCTTACAAGTATTAAGGATATCGGAGTCTATTTAGGAATCCTGTGCTTCATCATGTTGTTTAACCCCTCTTCCTCCACAATAGAAAATGGATGCTCATGCATCAGCACCCAATGTGCAATAAACTCCCTCATCTTCAGCATACTGAATTGTAGGGCTGTGCAAAACCGGGTACCCGCTCCGAATTTGGCCAAAAACCGGGTACCCGAAAATTCGAGTACCTCCAAAAATATACCCGCTAACCGAACCGGTTTTAAACTATCCGGTTTCGCGGGTACCCGAAAATTCGAGTAAAAAACCGTGTAACCGATTTTGGTACCCGAATTTTTTATATTGCTTGGTTACAAAATTTTTAAAAAGATTTCAAATATTAATTAACCAAAAAGAAAAAGGTTTTAACATGTAAAAATAGATTGAAATTTTAACAATTTAATTAAGCTCCAAAAGAGCTAATGAGAGAATCTCAAAAAGCCGTAAATTAGCTTAGATAAGTTTTTTTATTTATGACTTTAAATAAGCTTTTCTTACTAATAAATAAATTCTTAGATAAGTTGTTTCATTGTCAACAACTCAACTTGATAATTTCGGCTTCAAATATATAATTAATTTATGAGAAAATACATATTTACATGGGGTTTATGAATTATGATTGATGTCAAAATCTGTGACTTGCCCCACAACTTAGTATCATTAGTTAAATATATTCCAAAGGATATAGAAATGTACAACTTAGTATCAAATATGTAATTAATTTATGAGAAAATACCACATCTAATCATATATATTCCAAAGGATATAGAAATGTAAAACTTAAATCTTATTCATGTAGTATCATTAGTTGCCAGAACATCAAATTAAATTTTAATTTTAATTTAAAGCTAAAATTTTCTGGACACTTTTGTGTATGAACAAAGGAGAAAAAGAAAAAGAACACTACAGTATAGATATTTTGTTCAGCTTTGTATGCTGAAATCTTTTCCATCAAATTTGTTTCTAAGTTTTCAGGATATACTTCAGATACTTCCAAGTTAATTAACATAACACAAGTTAAAAGAAATTACATTAAGTTAAAAAAACAAACTACTGTAAATATAAAATAACATCAGATTAACAATAACAAACATTAATTTACTCTCTCTCTAACTTTAAGTTCTGAATAGTTGCAGAACTTATTAGTTGCAGGTCGGCTTGGTGGTGGCTACTGGTGGTAGTCGGTGTCTCGGTGATAGATCCTGACAAGAAATGTAGCTACAAACTTGGTTAGAAACTTGGTTAGAAACTTGTAGAATTATAAAGAGAAAAAAATGCAGAATTTTACCTGGTTAGAAA